AAAATATTCCTCATCTTTTTGTGTAATGGAATTTGCTTCTGCTGTTACCACACTCTGTAACCATTTGTCTTCTATTGCTTTAGCTCTCAGTATTTTAAGGATTTTGCCAGTGTTCAGAATATCACACCTTTGCTTTTAAGGGCATTCCTCAGAACTTGATGCACCTGAGATAATGTATTTATTTTTTAGTATTTAGTATTTTTCTCACTTAACAGGAAGGGCTGAAAACACTTGTAAAAGATGTCACAATTATCCAGAAGTAAAAAATGCCTCAATTACGAACAACACCCAAACTTGCAAATTCTCGCTCTCTCCGAAACAGTAATTGGGCTGTTGTAAGAGTACAAATAACTACTTAGAAGACTAAAGCTATATCAATGTACGAATAAATTTTTGAAGGATGAGATACTTGAGTCCTGATCTAGACCTTTTCTTTTTGTTACTATATTATTCCTGTAAACAGCAGCTCTCCATCGCAATGCAGTTTCCAGAAATATCTAGAACAAAGAGTGAGGTGAGGGACAGCAAAATATATCTGTGAGCCATGATCAAAACCATTTTTGTACAGAGTTTGCGGAGCTGGAATAGTAATTAAAAGAGCTCAAATGTCCAAGGGCTATTAAGCTGAACTGTGGACGTGAGGACTAGGAACAGCTTGAAACTTATAAATCTTGGAATCTGATCCTGTCACTGTCCATGGCATATTTGTCATAACTGATATTCCCTGACTCTGGCTCCAGTCCCTACATAAGGCATTATCCATCCCAACAGAAAATCTTCCAGAAATTAGATCAGGCTCCTAAATTCTGCAGAACCGCAGTGTGGGATAAGCAGGATGCCATTGCTACTGAATTGCCTGATCCAACGTACGTTCCTGTTCACATACTCAAGACTGAATCAACCCTTAAAGCACAATGAGGTACCCACAGGGTCAGCTTGTAAACATGGAGGAAGACAAAGCCCTTGCCTCCAGGAATGCACAACCCACAATGAATTTGATGGTTACAATAAAAGTATTGGGAACGAACATTAAAAGACACCATGGTGGGAAAGAGCATTGACATTGAAGAAGTAATTTAACTGGGAACGGCAGAGGAGGGCTTTGTAGGATGAAAGCTGCTCCAAGCACAAGGACTGAAGAAACACATTTACAAGCACAGGCACGTGCCCAACCACCGCACATCCCTCTGGGTTCACTGTCCCATGTGTTATAGGGGCCAGACATCTGGACTGTCCTCTCCTTTTGAACAGAGAAAGAAGCCAAGAAAATGATGTCTTTCAAAGTTCTCTCTCTGCTCCTCGCTTCTCTGGGCTTTGTTTTGATGGAAGAGAATGTCTCAGGGTAAGTGTTTTGGAAAGCTCGCAGTGTATTTTGAGCCTTTTCCAGCTCCCCACTGGAAGCAAATAGACTCTTTCCATTAGCATCTTGGTAAGTAGGTGAGAACATGAGTCCTGAGGTAGATCTCAGATAATAGAGACAGCAAAGTGTACAGAGATGAGCAAATGATAAGAGAGATATCAAACTAAAGCCCTGAGCCTTTGAGCTAGAGCCAAGAACTCCCAAGTTTTCCCTAGAAACTTTATGGCTCTGGGTTAGGAGGAACAAGCTGGAAGTTAACCAGGAAGACAAGAAGGTTGGCTGAGAACTAGAAACAAGATGTAATCATCTCACACGAATGAGGCCAGGGGGCATCCAGTATTTAGAAGTTTCTGAAAATATGACCAGTTAGATAAAGCAGGTATATTATAAAGACTTTCCCGCTCTTTCCCATGCTACAAAATTTCCAACTACCACCCAAGAAGATCCAAAAGAATCCTTACTAGAGCAGCAAGGGCTGCTGCAACCCCAGATGATGGTACTAAAAAAGGATCAGCCGTGAAACCCTTTGCTGACTTAGGTAGCCACTGACACTGTCTACATAGGTCTCAAGGTCAGCCCTTGTCTCCCACCAACACCCTTGAGACTCTCGAGGACACAGGAAAAGGCTTCCTTGGCCCAAGGTGTGCAGCTCACTGGAGGAGGGAGCCTGAGCACACTTGGTGCCTTAGCTCAGAGCCAAAGTCCACGTGAATCAGGCTACAGCAGGGAAAACCACACTGACTTCAGACTATCAGCAAATATCCTGAGCTCACCTCCTCCCACGTTCTCAAATCTGAGCTGCAATTGTGTTAGTAGCCAGCAACATGGAAGAGGAGCATGCTAGCCCCCTTCTCCGGCCATCTCCTCACGTTACAGTGCAGGAATCCCTTGGTCACCTGTACCAAGGGAGATTAAAAGTGATCACAAAACCTCGCTGAGTGTAGGGACCGCATGGGCCACCACATGCAACCCAAGAAAAACCGCATAGCATGTGCCACCGGTCTGTGTGGGACTCACTGTCTCTGTGCTCTTACCCCAGCGTAAGTGTAAGGACTCCCAGCGCCAGACCAGTGCAAAGACGCTATTCTGAGGCCACCCTGGCGAGCGATTACAGCCGCACGATGGATAACATGCTGAAGAAGAACTTTGTGGAATGGTTGCTAGCCAGACGGGAGAAGAGAAGCGAGTAAGTGTGTAGACTTCCAATGCTCAACACTTACAGCTGTTGTCAGCCAACTGATGGCTACAGAAGAATGTAGAGCCGAGGATATTTTTCTTGGACTGCAGCAGTGGTTCTTTAGGGAGTTAGTTTTCTTTTTGTCTTTTATTTTTCTAAGTCCTAGAAATGTTTCTGGTCTGTCGGCACACAGCACAACTATCCTTCTCCCTGTCCAAGACCGCCGCCTTCTCTGGCTGCTGGTAGAGGGAGTGGGAGGGAACTGGGTTTTGTGGAAAAGCAGCATTTTGGCACCCTCTTGTGGCACCTCGGGCTGCTATCTTCCCGTTTCTTCTTTCCAGCAACACCATCGAGCCATACAAGAGGGAAGCTGAGCCCCAAGTAGCAGCTGCGAATGGCCAAAGACTGGACCTGGGCACCCAGGAAGCCAAAGACTTCTTCGCCTGGCTTCTGAAAGCCAAGAAAAATCAGAGGTGAGATGGGAAAGAGAAAGAGAAAATCTGGTCACGCAGAGGGATGAGGTCCCCAAATGTTTAACTTCTGAAGGGATGTTTTGAGGCAGGAATCTATGGTAATGGCTTCACATAGGAAAACAAGAGGATTTTAATTTCAAATGGAAATTCCACATTTTGCAATTCTGTCTCATAAGTGAGGAAAAGAACACAGACAAAAAAAGCCTCTCAAATTTTGAAATTTCTCACAAAATACAAATTTAAAAAATAGAGATGACTGGGGTCTCTTTTTGGTTTTGCAAATGTCAGCACAGCCTCACCAAAACCCAGCACTTTGAGGTCAAAGCGCAGACTTTTGACAGGGCTGAAGCACATCTGCTCCTTTAACATCCCAACATCACCAAAACAGAGGAGTCAAAATGAAGTGCTTTGAGCTAATCAAAACACAGCCCTCTCAAAAGAAAACTCTCCAGTGAAAACCCAGATGAAATTGATACATTTCTGCAAAACATTTTGATTTGATCAAATCAACCCAACAGGGGGGAAAAAAAAAAAACCTCCCACTCATTCACACGCTCAGCATGTTGCCCAGTTCATTTAAAAAAAAAAAAAAGGAAAACAGTTCTTTCCTCATATCACTGCTACAAGCTCTCATTATGAAAAGCCTGACACCTAAACGTGAAACCATGCAGGAGAGATGCCTGCCTGACACGGGAATTTCCCAGTTTGTTTCTGATCTGTGCCCTTTACCAGGGACACTCAGATTTATTTTTGGTTTTTTTAAGATGTAATCATCTGAAAATCATCATGATCACAGTAATGATGGCGATACGAGCTCGCTTGGAACAGGTACCTCTAGGCAAGGTAACAGAGTCCATATGGAGCGTTCTGTTGCCGCAGCTCGTGCCTTCATCTCCCAAGCCATCTGGCTGAGAGCACGCTTGTGTATCAGCGCTGTGCGGCTTTGTGCTGTGTCAGCATATCCACAGCCTGTCAATAGCCTGTTTCACCTCCCCCAGTCTTAGCTTATGTCACAAATGTTCAAAAAGCAAATTAGACACGAGTCCAAAGAAAAAAAATCTGTTCTCAGGCACTTTCTACATTTAAAAAAAAAAGCCCAACACCAACAAATGAAGGAGGGATACATTTCCTTTCATTAACGTGAAGGGGATTTTACAAAACCTAACAGGTTGCTGCTGCTTAGTCCTAAAATGGTGGCAAGAAGGAAAAAAAGCACTTACCGTACACAGTCCACACCCTTCAGGCACAATCCTAGTGTCTTCTGGAAAAAAAAAATTGAATTTCTAGCTACAGGGAGTCATGGGACGGTCACCCAGAACAAGAATCTGGGGACTTTTGTTGTCTTTTACAGCCTTGGCATGAAAACTGCTTTAGAAACCAGGGTGCGGGGGATGACCCGGGGTGGGGGAAATGAGCACAGTTATGGTTCACAGAGGTGTCTCAGGCCAAGCACTCAGAAAAGCAGACACCGAGAATTGCTAGTCATACTGAAAATACAAAATCAAAGAAACGAGGGCTTTGAGGGATCTCAGGAGGTCATTTAGTCTGACCTCTGCTCCAAGGCAGGATCAACGCGCCCTAAACTGTTCCTGACAGATGTTTGTCTAACCTGTTCTGGGGGTGGGGGGTGTGGAGGGGGGAAGGGAAACCTTTGATGCTAGGGATTAATCAGTTTGATTAGCTTAATTAAAAAAAAAAAAAGTCTTCCAGTGTCTCCCTCAATCTCTTTAATTGCAAATAAAAAATGCAACTTGCAGGGGAAAGTCCTCCTGGAAACAAAGACTTTCCTTTGTGAGTTTGGAGTGTAGATGCTGCTTCACCCACGCTCTGCCTTTGTTTTGGTGCCTGCTGGGTCTAAGAGGAGGTGGGGTGCAGGGAGGGGTGACTGGACCGTTCCTTCTTGTCCCCCAAACCTGACAGATGTTCACTGCCGGGCAGCCTAAACGTGCCAAGATCAAGGCACTGTTGTGTGCAAGGAGCTCACCCTGTCAAAAAGAGGTTAAAGCTTTTTGTTGGTTTATCTGAGTCAAAGATGTTAGAAGACAAGGAAAATAAAATATCCCTGTGAACTTCCGGGGACTGGGGTAAGAGGCTTTTATATACTCCATCTGGATTGTTGCCTCACCTCTGTCTTTACGGTGTGGCACATTTCTTGCAGTTTTACTTCTCCAGAAGGTTTGAAGGACATATTGAACCAGGAATTTCTGACATGGCTGATGTCAACTGATCTCTGCAGACCAATGTAAGTGGCTGTTCTACCTATTCCTGTTGTTACAAGCATCCCCTCAGAGCCCTTCCCAGCCCTTGTCCCAAAAGTACCTGCTTCAGTGCTCGTACGAATTTAGGATTTCTTTAGATAACCACCGAGTGCTTACATGGCATAGCTCAGCTGCATTTGACTGGAGAGTTAAGAGCTCTGGCCAGAGTTTGGTTCTGCAAAAGTATCTTCAGATCATTGATACAACAAAGATGGGGGAAGACAAATTTTAAAATTACTGTCTAGAGAAGGGAGGTTAGTAAACCCTTTTCCACTTTTTAATGAGACAAGGAGGTGTTCATCAAACCACCTACAGGAAATACTTTTTCTGTGCATTGCACACTGCTGTGAAAGGCATTCAGAGAAAAATACAAGAAACCAGGGTGCAAAAGGAGCAGGGGAGGGCCCTGAGGAGGCTCAAGGGAACGGCAAGCCCATCCTATGCTTAGTTGAGTAAAACGAAGGCTGAGAGAGACAAAGTCACCATCTATTAAAGAAGAGAGCGAGAAAAGAGCTGTTCGTGCCAGTGGCAAAAGTTGGCACAAGAACAAAAAGGGATGAACCGGCCATGAATACGTGTAGGTTGGGAAGAAGAGGCAGCTCTGTGCCACAGGCAGCTCCATGCAGCTCGGTCCGACAACGTGAGCCGAGCGGCCAGCCAGCAGGCCAGAGAAAACAAGGAACTGTTGAGCTCATCCTGCAGAGAAACACTTCATTTGCATTTCTCTCCTCTAACCAGCTGCTGCTTTTTCCCAAAACCTGTAGGTACTTACTATCAGACACTAACTCCGACACACGGCTCGCTACCAAAATGGATCCGCAAGGTGCGGGAGGGGGCTGGAGGGTGGAGGAGGGGGGAACGTACGCCTCGTTTCCTCCAGCGAGCAGGTGGAAAGGGGTTAAGTGCAGTACCACTGGAATTTCTCTTTTTCTCTCCCGTTTCTGCGTGGTTAGGGCCGCCTAAGTGCCGGACCGTGCCGAGGAGCCCTCTTCGTGCTGCCAGACCCCCGAGGCGGAGGAACGGCCCCTCCGGTCGCTCTCTCCTGTGCCTCTTGTCCCTTTTGCGAATATAAGCAATAAAGAGTTTAGTCTGAAGCTGAAATAAGAGTCAGATAAAGCCTGGTTTGGGGATGGGCGATAAAGC